CTCAGAAAACTGTTGTATCTTTCCATGATATTGCAGAATTATTTGAGTTTTTGAGTTTTCTTCTTTGAGAAGAGCAGACTGAACTCAGGACAGCAAACGTGGTGTTCTGGGTTTACTTAGAAGAGCTGGAAAATGCTCCCTCTGTAAGAGGACTCAAAGGAATCACTGCACATTTGGCTCTTCGTACTATTGAATGAGCTAGATTTGATGTCAGAAAGCTGTAAGCGGTCCACTCTTAGCAGTCAGTTGTTGGTAAAAATGTTCCCAGATATTGATGGGAGCTTTATAGTTTTTAGACATAAACAGAATACCTGCAGTTCAGGTCATGCTGTCACAAATTCATCCTGGAGAGTAACAGCCATACAGATCTTCCATGCCAGCTTTTAACTGTATGTGATGGGACACAGAGCAACTGGAAGATTCCACCATGACTTACCTGTGTGCTCAGGAACTGTTTTATATCACTGATGGAATAGGTTTAGACAACAACACTGAGTTGAGTAGAAATTGACTCCCAGCATTTACAGGGATCTTCAGTGGCAAGGGCAAAACTCAGTGATGAGAATTTTGAAGGAATTTCCTTGAGGACTCAGAATGGATGGACTTGAGAGCACTCCTCACCTCATGGTCATTTTGTTTTATCCGCATATACAAGTGTATCCAGAGCCATGCAGTCAAAGGCAGTTTCCCACAAAGTGGGGAAATACATGATGGGTTTGTATTAAAACCTTTGTGTCTGCTGGTAGACATTTAGGCATTTGTCAATGTGACAGGGAAATGAAATTCATAGTATTCTCTAGAGATTTATAGAATGCAGTTGGAAACACTAAATTATGCATTCTATTCTGCAAGATTCTTACAGTCAAACCTTTAAGCCCCTCCTTGCCTTTTCTTAATATAATCTTCATAAACTTTTATAAAAGACAAGCCCATTATACAGCATTTGGAAACTACAGGACAAAATAAAGGAAATAATCATCTCTCTTCCTAAGACACAGTTATAGCCAGTAACAAAATTAGTCTGAGTTCTCTAGGTAGGGCACTAGGGTTAGATGCTGCACAATCCCTGCACTTCATGAACTTAAAGTATAGTGAGGAAATATACCCAGAAACAAGGGCAATAAAGCCTAAATTTAAATCGCACCTCTGAGATTTTTTGAGGAAGTTTTGGTTTTAGCAAGTATGAATGCTCTAAATAAAATTAATTTTTTATGTTTTCCTAATTTTCAGATATGTTTCACTAAATTTGGAACTTCTAACATTGTGTTCTTAGCTGATTTGAATTTTCCTTTATTTGTTTTTTTCTGCTGTCATTAAAAACTGCAGCAGAAAAGGGGTGGGAGAGATAAAGTATGTTTTGTGTTTTATATCCTATTTAGTAAAGTGAAGGTATTATTTTATGTGACTTGTGAAAACCTTATGTTTGAACTCTGCATGGGTTTGCTAAGTGTAGATTCATTCATATCTTGCTTTTTGTTTTGTTTTTGTTCTCCAGTTGGGCGACAACTGAGAGAAACAACAGAATAGACACCTGTGCCCCCTCTGTGGAGCAACAGGTGCCCTCTGTTCTCCATAGTCTCAATTCAGCCAGTGATTTGTCACATCATGTGTGTCTTACCCTTTTGTTTAAATGTTATTTATTGAAGAGGCTCCTGTTGTACACAGTATAACAACATGATGTGTTCTAGACCTAGATTGAAAAACAGTCTGTAATTGGCTGACAGTAATTAGCAGTTTCAGGATACCACTTTGATTTTGTAATCGTTTGCTGGTAAAATGAGCTGAATTATCTCCTGTAATTTACCTGGAGTGTTTTTTACTGGTGCACACATGCATGCTCTCTCTTTAAGCAGGAGATGAATCAGTTTGAGAACTCAAGTTACCAACAAACTTTCTACCAAGAATGACCAGTGTTAGAATGCCGTATTTTGAAAACATGCTCATTTTAGATTTGGCATTGCCAGTCCGTTCCCTTGTTTTCTTTAAAGTGTTATTTGCCAGGGCTTCCCTGGTGGTGCATTGGTTAAGAATCCACCTGCCAATGAAGGGGGCATGGGTTCGAGCCCTGATCTGGGAAGATCCCACATGCTGTGGAGCAACTAAGCCCATGCAACCACAACTGTTGAGCCTGCGCTGTAGAACAACTGAAGCCCGCGCACCTAGAGACCATGCTCTGCAACAAGAGAAGCCACCACAATGAGAAGCCTATGCACCACTACGAAGAGTAGCCCCCACTTGCCACAACTGGAGAAAGCCCACGTGCAGCAACGAAGACCCAGTGCAGCCAAAAATAAAATAAATGAAATAAATAAATTTATAAAAAAAAATTTTAAATGTTATTTGCCAAACAATATCATAAGTTCAAATGACTCTTTAGGTACTTCTTTTTTATTTTTAAATTGCAAAGCATTTATTTTTCAAATATCAATATATTCTAAAATTCAGCGTTAAGTATAAATATTTGTTAAGTTTCTGAAGCAAAATTTCAGTAAAATATTTGATTATCATAGTTTGCCTTCTTAGATGTTAACCTTGCAAAGTTTATAGTGACTTTTCAATGAATATATGTTAAATTTCTGTTTTAGCTCTTTGATCAAGCATAAGCATTATTTTGAGTTTTGGAGGCAAAAAATCAATTATGTACAGGCACGCCTCGGAGATACTGCAGTTTGGTTCCAGACAACGGCAGTAAAGCGAGTCAAGCTTTTGGTTTCCTAGTGCATATAGAAGTTATGTTTACACTGTACTGTAGCCTGTACAATAGCATTATATCTAAAAAAACAATGTATGTGCCTTAATTTAAAAATACTTCATGGCTTAAAAATGAACGAAATATAATGCCATTTTCAGCGACATGGATGGACCTAGAGATTGTCATACAGAGTGACGTAAGTCAGAAAGAGAAAGACATATATCGTATAATATCACTTATATGTGGAATCTAGAAAAATGGTACAGATGAACTTGTTTGCAAAGCAGAAATAGAGTCACAGATGTAGAAAACAAATTTGCGGTTACCAAGAGGGTAATGATAGGGTGGGATGAATTGGGAGTTTAGGACTGACATATATACACTACTATATATATAATAGATAACTAATAAGAACCTACTGTATAGCACAGGGAACTCTACTCAATGCTCTTGAGTAGGTGGTGACCTAAATGGGAAGGAAATTTTAAAAAGAGTGGATATATGTGTATGTATATCTGATTTACTTTGCTGTACAGCAGAAACTAACACAACATTGTAAAGCAACTATACTCCAATAAAAATTAAAAAAAAAAAACAACTTCATGGCCGAAAAGTGCTAATCACTATCTGATCACACAAGGTTGCCACAAACCTTTCAAACTGTAAAAACCACAGTATCTGCGGAGCATAATAAAACAAGGTGTGCTGGTCAGTGTACTCCATGTGATGTGTTCAGTTGATTAATGTGAAAAAAGCTACATTTAAATTATTCATATACAAATAACTTTTGACATGTGATATGATATTCGACTGTTATATTCTATACATATTCATATTATTTTTATGCTGGTTTCTTGATTTATCTAAAACAAACCATCTTAGTCATGTGGGCTTACTTCAATCCATTACTCTCTGATAATTCTTTGTTAAATGCATAGCAGAGTCCTTGTGGAAAATACATAGTTCTCAAAATCTTTTGTTATTGGTCCTTTTTGTAAATGTCCTGAACTGGGCACTATTTATTTAATAATAGCTAGCTTTATTAAATTAAGGGAACACAGCATGAAAAATATGTTGACATATTATCTAATGAAAGGTGGAAAAAGTGTTCATCTTAAGAGTCTATAAAACTAAGGCTGGTAGAGTCTTACAATTCATTCTAGCCCTTTCCTTGTATCATTTGTCCTGATATATTTGACAGAGATAAACTCTAATGCTGCTTGAACCTTAGTGTTGTTTCTACCTACACTGCATAATGTTTCTCTAGTTAGCAGAATTTGAAAATAGAATGGTTTTGTTTAAAAATTGAAATATTAGATTTTTTCTCTGATTTTATTTCTCCATTGGCTTCTGATTCAAACCTTGAAACCAAGATCCATCTCCTAAACTTGTTCAGCATTTAGAGCATTATTACTGTTTTATTTTGTGTTCTATTGTATATTGCTGCCTAGCACATTACCCTAAAATACAACAGCCTAAAACAACAAACATTTATTACCTCACAGTTTCTGTGGTCGTAACTCCCAGTACAGCTTAGCTGGGTGCCTCTGGCTCAGGGTCTCTCACGAAGCTGCAGCTGAGGCAACAGTCAAGGCCGTGGTCATCTCAGGGTTCAACTTGGGAAGAAGTGCCTACAAGCTCATTAACATGGCCACTGGCGAGCATCAGGTCCACAGTTGTTGGCTAGAGAGGTCCTTGCTGCATAACTCTCCATAGGATAGCAGCTGGCTTCCTTCAGAACCGAGAGTGCAGAGATGGAAGCCAGTGTCTTTGTAACCAAGAGTCAGAGGTGACATCTCATCTCTTCTGCCATAGTTTATTCCTTAAGAGGTGAGTTGCTAGGTCCACACAGACTCAAGGGGAGGTGATTGATCACACAGGGGCATGTGTACCAGGAGGTGGGTTTTTTCAGGGTTTTTTTTTTGTTTTTAATTGTTATTGGAGTATAGTTGCTTTACAGGAGGTGGGGGTCTTAATGGTGGCCTGCTGCATCGCTTACAAGTACTTTGAACTTATAAAATGTCCCACTTTTACTGTGTTGTGTCATAGGATTAGGATGATAGAACTGCTTAGCTTGCTGTTGTCTCACAATCTTGAACTAATCATTTTATGTAGAATGAGACTCCAGGAAGGTGTGCAAACCAGGACAGAGATAAAGGCATGTTCATTTGTAGTTTTGCTTGTATGGCCTTTCCTAGTTATTTGGATAAGGAACTTAGCTAAAAACTCTAAGGTACTATCAAAGTATACAGTTGGGGGTATTTTATCCTCTGTTCATTATGTAAATTCTAATGTTTATCTTGTTCAGTATTGGTAAAGGTTTCCAAGGTGTCATGAAAAGATGGGGATTTAAAGGCCAGCCAGCTACTCACGGTCAAACAAAAACCCACAGAAGGCCTGGAGCTATTTCAACTGGTGTAAGTATAACTTAGTGATCCTCTTTTTAGTACTAAAGATTCAGCTTTTGTGTATATGGTGCTTTAGTCTGTCCTTGAGATCAAGTCACATTATTTGAATCTTACTCCAGGTGGGTCCTAATAAAAGTCACACATTTATGAGTCCTGGCCTTACTTTCCAGAGCCAGACTTGAATCATTTGGTTATATCCTGTGTACTTACGGCCAGTGTTCTCAGTACTTGTCTGCCTGCCTTCTTTCCCATCTCTGTCTCCCATCCTACACTCTGAAGTCAGCTGTAAGTGATCAGGGATCAGAATGCCCTGCCATCTTCCCTCACTGGTTCCTTCACAGATTTGTTTTTGCCTTAGAAGAGACCGTTGGGAAAATTTGTCAAGGACAACATAATGATGAAGGGGAAAGTAATAGAGAAAAAATGGAGAAATAGACAATAAGAGCATAGGAAGGAGAGAAGGAGATTTGTACTGCTAATTTAGTCCTACTGAATATCTCTCCCAGAGGTGTACCATAAAGAGCCTGGGGGATTCTTACTCTTGGGTGGGAAGAGTATGGAAGGGCTCAGGAGTGGCACTTAACTAGATATACTTTTTTGTTAATACTTTTTACTTTGGAACCATGTTAATGATTTACAAATTCAAAGTAAAATAAAAATGGGGGGGAATCCATAATGGAATATAATTAGGAACTGAACATAACTATTTCAAATGAGTAACAGAACCTCACTAAAGTGGGGGACTAGAGTGGACTAATAAGTAACTTATGAACACATAGTTGTTGGCTGTATACCCGGAGTCTAAATTTAAAATGTACTATGTGCAAGTGTTGAGTTCTAATTATGTTTTTTTAGTAGTATTAGTTGGCCATTCTGAGATAATTTTCTGTGAATTATAGGATTGACCAGATAAGTGAATATATTGATAATGGAAGCCAAGTTTCTCACTATTGGTGGTAACTAACTCTCTCCTTTAGTCAATTTGCAGAAGGATAGTAACATCAAAAGCCAGAGTGGGAGAGTAGGACCATTCCAGCAGCTGTGGACTGGATGGAGTCCAAGTCAGTTAATACAGAAGATTTGTGAAAACAGGCCAGGCAGTCCATTTTTTCTTTGAATGGTGGTGTGACATGTTTTTATGTCCTTCTCAGCCATTATTGGCTCAGTTGCTGCTCTCTTGTTACTGAATTTTTCTCCTAAATATGTTCTTAGTCTATATTTTTTTGTTCTAATCTAATTTAGAAAGGGAATTCTCTAGGGGTAAATGTGACTAAATCCATGTTTAGTTCTTTACTGGGGGCTAGCAAAATGGAGGAAAAAATAAAACATTTTAATGACATATCTTATTTGCATTTTGGTTTGATTGGTACTGTTTGAAATTGAGAATACTGCTTAAAAGTGCTACTTTTTGTTTCTCTCCTTTAGGATGTTGCCAGAGTCTGGCCTGGAACTAAAATGCCTGGACAATTGGGGAACATAGATAGGACAGCATTTGGACTGAAAGTAAGTTTCTGGAGTGGCTTTTTAGAGGAGTGGTTAAATTAGTGCCTAAAGGCAAATGCACCAGCATACATATTTAACGTGTGTCTGCGTATGGTGGTTCTAATAGGTTTTACAATTATTGAGCGGTGGAGGAAACGTGTAGTGTGTGTGTGTGTGTGTGTGTGTGTGTGTGTGTGTGTGTTGGAGTTGTCATATATGTTCATTTAACATGCAAGCCATGGAAAATGCATTCATTAAAAAGAAAAAGTTAATTGTCTACTATTTTACCTGGAAGATTTCCACAAAGTGTTGTTGCATGAAAAAATAGAGATTCAGAGCATTACGTATAATACTCTTATAAAAGAGTAAACAGAAACTCCCTACATGTATATGTCACCATGCCATGTAAGCACAGAAGAGTAGATGGTTATATATCATATTGCTTTCAATTAAATGTCAAATGTGTGGGTGGATGTGGGTGAGGAAGAGGAGGGACGAAGACAAAATAGGAGACAATCAAAATAGGAAAATAGAGTACTAAAAAAGCATTGTGGTATATATCCATTTTTGTAAAATAATTATATATTTAAAAGGGGTGGGGAGTTAAATTCACTGTCTGCTAACTTGAGGAACATATGTAATATCTAACTGAAAATGAGTTGTACATAATAGGTGCCATGTAATTATATTTTTATTAAAACAACTAATCTGTCTATATGTGTGAAAAGTATAGAAAGTACAAAAAAGAAAATAGGCCATTCAAAAGAACAACCCCCAAAGACAACCACTGGTAACATTTTGGTACATATTCTTTCATTCTCTATTCTAGATGTATTTTATTTATAAATTTTAACCAGCAGAAGTTTTTAAAATTTTGTATAATTAAATCTAAGGGTTTTTTTCCCCTCTTCTGTTACATTTATACTTGCCATAGACAACTATTTGTAACTGTCTTTGTGCATTTTCTTTTCATGTATGCATATGTGTGACAGGAGAGAGATTTCAGTTGCCCTAGTATTTAACATTTAGCCATGAGCTATGGGTCAAACTTGATTTTACCCCCAAATACTTTCTCAGTACCATTTCTTGACTGTTCTCTCATTTGTGTAAATGTTTTTCCCACGTGAAGATCTGTTTGAAGGCCATCTGCTCAGCACACTTTTTAAAAAAATTAGACCCAGAGAGGTTGCAGCTTCCCAGTTTCTAGTTGCAGCAAGCTCATGTTAACTAAGAATAAAATAAAATTGAATTTTCATGTGTTATTCTTAATGGTGCCAGGAGAATATTGAAATATCCAAGTAGTCTTGATCGTTCAGTCACATTTATACTTAAAATGAGAGTTTTCTACCACTTACATGAGACATATCTGTTGTAGTATTACAGTACAAGTCATCCATAGGATTTGAAATTTTTATTCTCATTCAATATTTTGAGGTGCTAACATGATTATTTCTTTACAGGCTACTTATAGCCTCAGCTTTTGTTTGTATTGATATAAGTATATTCTAATATTTTTAACTCTTAAGGTTTGATTTTATTTCCACTTCAGGTGTGGAGAATAAACACAAAGCACAATATAATCTATGTAAATGGCTCTGTACCTGGACACAAAAATTGCTTAGTAAAGGTATGTATAACTCTCTTTATTTTCCCTTGTTCAGAGATGTGGATGTGTGCCATAAGTTCTCCTCTCACCCATAAATGTGTCTTGAAAATAAGTAGCTGTTTCTCGACATGTTCTTTGCTATTTTTTCTGCTTTTTAGTAGCACCTGAGTGAGAAAATTGCACAAAATAACCTATAGCCTATGTCTCTAAAACCATGAACCTGCACCTTTGTTACTGGTAGGTCCAGTAAGAGGTTCTTTAGAAATACAGAAGGATATTAGTAAAACTACTTGCAAAAATATCAATATATCTCTATCCTTCCAAAAAATAACTTTTTCAATTTTTAAGAGTACTTTGACATGGGAACCAGAAGTATATGTGGTGGAAATAAAATGAGAAATGAGAATCAACAAGAAAGGTGGCTTGAGGTGGACATTTTAAGGAAAGATTTATTATTATTATTATTACTAGCATTGCTCTGTTTTCCTTAAAAATACATTTTTATGTTCAAAACATGAAGAGAAGAAAACATGTTATACAAGATAGACTTGAAAAAACATTCTTAAGCTCTCAGAGATTTATTTCCATCAAATAAAATACAAAATAAATATTCAACGTGGGATTTAAGTCAACATAATACAAAATGAGACATCACTTTTGAATTTTGAATCTTCCATTCTGAAAATAAATTTGTAGTTGAAGTGATATCAGCAGTTCCCCAAAATAGATTCTTCATTACTCTTCCAACAATAACAACAAAAATAGGCTGAAACTTAACCCTCAGAATTTTCAAAAAACCTGTCTTTTTCTATGTATTCTTTTCTTTTTTTTTTTTTGGTGGTACACGGGCTTCTCACTGCTGTGGCCTCTCCTGCTGCGGAGCACAGGCTCCGGACGTGCAGGCTCAGCGGCCATGGCCCACGGGCCCAGCCGCCCCACAGCATGTGGGATCCTCCCGGACCAGGGCACGAACCTGTGTCCCCTGCATTGGCAGGCAGACTGTCAACCACTGCGCCACCAGGGAAGCCCCTTCTTTTCATTTCTTAAAGTACGTTCCGTTACTAGCATAAGGTACAATATTTGTTTCAGTCTTACAGTAATTAAAATTCCCTTTCTGGAACTCTTCACTTTTTTGACTAGAGTATTCTCATTTTTTTTTTTTAAAGAAAAAATGCATTTGATTAATTCTTGCAAGATTTTTTGGTCTTTTTTTTTTAAGTTTGCAGTTTTTTAGGTTTAAGTAAGTTTTCAGGCCCCTGGTGACCCAAGTCATGTACATAGTGACAGGTACTTGAAGCCAGCACATTGTCATTGTGCTTTTCCTAACATTTTGGCCTCATAATTCATTGTATTCCTACCTCCAGATTTATTACATTGTTATAAATATAACAACCTAATAAAAAAGAAAAAAGGAAAATGATCATTTTTCATAATAAATTATACTGGATAGCAGATGAAGTTTTAAACATTGTCAAATCCTCCTTTTCTCCCCATTTGCTGTATACAGTTCTAGGCTGGCTTCCAGCTGAGCCTCACTGTTGCTGTGACTCCTCAGGTTCACCTCAGCATCTTCCTTGACTCCAGCAGGGATGAACAGGTGAACTGCCTTGAAAAACCATATGTGCAGGGTTCTGATCTGGTTGTTATAAATAGTTTATAATCAACAACACTTATTACTCAGATTTTTCCACCCACTTCAATAAAGATTGCCTCCAGAAACTCAATCCATTTAATGGATGGTGGCTTGCTATCACTGAAGATATTCAGAAGGTACACTGAAGGCAATTCCAAAAGAGGAGTCCAAATACATTTTGAGAAACTATACCATCAGAGAAATGTCTAGACACTTTGAACTGTTAACACACTAGGTGAATATATTTCCAACAAACAGATTTTGATAAAAGAACCCATCTTGAAAAAAAATCTTTGAAATATAGTGCCTTTTAACTGTCTTTTTAACCTTAAATGTCTGTCCCAAACATTAAGGTGTGGGTTTGGGGGAGTTTTTTGTGGGCTTATGTTTTAAATGCCAAAAGTTTGGTAAATCTTCTGAAAACAGTCACCGCACTTTGTCCATTCTTCCCAGTGATCCCATAGCGGGTGAATAAGCCCCTTGCCATTGGAGGTTGAGGCTCGTCCTGCTGGACAGGCAGCCTTATTGGCATCCACTCACTGCACAGGAGCTTTTGGTTCCATCAGAGTACAGAGTACAGGGCTGCCTGTCATTCATTCTAAAGTTAGTAAGATAGTCTTAGGGATAACCAACCTGTTTAATTAATGTAAGCTTTTTGTTCTTTGGATTCACTAAATGTATCAAGAGAGCCTAAAGAACTTATTTACAGCATAGTGTACTGTAATATTTGTGTGTGCTCATCCCTATATCCTAATTTATAATTTAAGTTTATTTTCAGATTTGCCTGTTTTGTGTGTGTGTGTGTCCTACCTCCAGCTTTCCTAAAAAGTGTTTGAACTGGTTTGCCGATATACATAAATATAAAAAAAATGAGAGGGAGTCCTGAAGGCGGGGAAATAATAAAGCCAGGGATAAGATTCAGTGCGCAAAAACATGTACCAGCAAATTCGGGACAAGATGGTGGAGAAGAGGGACCTTGAGCCCACCTTCTCTTATGAGCACACCAAAATCACAACTAACTGCTGAACAATCATCAATTAAAGAAAAAGCTGGAACCTACCAGAAAAGAAACCACAATGAGATTATAGGAGGGGTGCACTTGTGATGTAATCAAATCCTTTACTACCTGGCGACACAAAAACTGGAGAATGATTATATCACAGAACTTCTCCCACAGGAGTGAGAGTTCTGAGCCTGACGTCAGGCTCCCCAGCTGGGGGCCTGGCATCAGGAAGAGGAGCTCCCAGAGCATTTGGCTTTGAAGGCCAGTGGGACTTGATAGCAGGAGCTCCACAGGACTGGGAGAAGCAGAGACCTCACTCATAAAGGGCACATGCAGAATCTCATGCACCTGGAACCCGGGCAAAAGCAGTAATTTCATAGGAGCCTGTGCCAGACCTACCTGCTGGTCTTGGAGGGTCTCCTGGGAAGGTAGGGGGCAGCTGTGGCTCACCCTTAGGACATAAAAACCAGTGGCAGATATATTAGGGAGTATTCATCTTCATGAACTCTTGCTGGAGGCTGATATCTTGCTTGGGTCATTAGCACCAAAACCTGGCCCCACCCAACAGCCTGTAGGCTCCAGTGCTGGGACACCTCAAGCAAACAACCAAGTGGGCAGGAACACAGCTGCATCTGTCAGCAGACAGGCTGCCTAAAGACTTCCTGAGCCCACAGCCGTCTTTGGACACACCCTTTGACACGGCCCTGCCCACCAGAGGGTGAGGAATCAGCTCCACCAACCAGTGGGCTGGCACCAGCCCCTCCTGTCAGGAAGCCTGCACAAGCCTCTAGAGCAGCCCCATCCAGCCAGGGGCAGACACCAGAAGCAAGAAAACTACGATCACACAGCCTGTGGAACTGGGTCTGCAAACAGACTGGTCCCTGATCCTTCAGGGATGAGAGGGAAGTGTACTGCTGGGACATACAGGACATCCCACTTCTCCAAGGTTGAGAAATGTAATTAACCTACCACACACATAAAAGTACAAGTAGAAATTTAGACAGACTGAGGCGGCAGAGGAATATGTTTCAGATGAAGGAACAAGATAAAATCCCTGAAGAACAGTGAAGTGAAGTGGAGGTAGGCAGTGTACTCGAGGAGTTCAGAGTAATGATCGTAAAGATGATCCAGGAATTTGGGAAAAGAATGGATGCACAGAGCAAGAAATTAGAAGTTTTTAACAAAGTCAGAAAATGTAAAGAGCAACCAAACAGAGATGAATATAATAACTGAAATGAAAAATACACTAGAAAGAACCAGTAGCAGAATAAATGAGGCAGAAGAATAGAGCAGTGAACTGGAAGACATAGTAGTAGAAATCACTGCCGTGTAACAGAATAAAAAAGAATGAGAAGAAATTAGGACAGTTTAAGAGAACTTTGGGACAACATCAGGCACACTAACATTCCCATTGTAGGGATTCTAGAAAAAGGAGAGAGAAAGGGCCTGAAAAAATACTTGAAGAGAAATAACTGAAAACTTCCCTAACCTGGGGAAGGAAACAATCACCCAAGCCCAGGAAGCGCAGAGTCCCATAGAGGATTAACCCAAAGAGAAACACACCAAGACACATAGTAATCAAATTGACAATACTTAAAGATAGAGAAAATATGAAAAGCAGCAAGGGAAAAGGTATAAATAATGTGCAAGGGAACTCCCATAAGATGGTCAGCTGATTTTTGAGCAGAAACTCTGTAGGCCAGAAGGGAATGGCATGATGTATTTAAAGTGATGAAAAAATCTACAACCAAGAATACCCAGCAAGGTCCTTACTCAGATTTGATGGAGAAATCAAAAACTTTACAGACAAGCAAAAGATAAAAGAATTCAGCACCACCAAACCAGTTTTACAACAAATGCTAAAGGAACTTTTCTAAGGGGAAAAGAAAAGGCCGCAACTAGAAACAAGAAAATTATGAAATGGCAAAGCTCACTGGTAAAGGCAAACATGATAAAGGTAAATTGTCCACACACAAACTAGTAGGGAGGTTAAAAGAGAAAAGTAGTAAAATCATCTGTATCCACAATACACAGTTAAGGGATACACAAAACAATTAGATGTGAAATATGATATCAGGGACCTCCCTGGTGGTACAGTGGTTAAGAATCTGCCTGTCAGTACAAGGGACACAGGTTCAAGCCCTGGTCCGGAAAGATCCCACATGCCGTGGAGCAACTAAGTCCATGCACCACAACTGCTGAGCCTGCGCTCTAGAGCCCACGTGCCACAACTACTGAAGCCCACGTGCCTAGAACCCGTGCTCCATAACAAGAGAAGCCACCACAATGAGAAGCCCATGCACTGCAACCAAGAGTAGCCCTTACTCGCTGCAACTGGAGAAAGGCTGTGCACAGCAACAAAGACCCAACGCAGCCCCCCAAAAT